AGATGGTTCAGCAGAAACCGGACAAGATTCAAACTATCTATAGTCAGAGTTAGGTTATAGAGCAGGGATCAGTTTAGAAGTGTTATTATTGTGGTAATTGACTTAGGGCTCATCCCCACCTGCAAGCTGTGCCCATAACACGGCCGTTGCATGCTGGAGTTAACAGTGCCGATCCCAGTACATCACACTGTTTACCTTTTTTTTTTGGAGGAGGATTATTGAGGCATTTCAATACGTTGTATTCACACAGCGGCATTGCGGTGTGGTAGTCTGCGCTGCAACCTTCTACTCTGAAACAAGCACACACCACTGCAACAGAATGGGGTGATTTGCCCTCATAGGGAACAATGCCAGGAACAAATTTTCACCTCAAGTGAAAGTCCTTTTGAAATGTCCACATACCAGAAAAGCAAAATAAAGGGTATCATTTAAAACAGAACTATGGTTACCAAAAAACTAACATATACTGTACACATTTATCACAGATATATATATATATATATAGATATCGATATATATATACAGTGGGGCAAAAAAGTATTTAGTCAGCCACCAATTGTGCAAGTTCTCCCACTTAAAAAGATGAGAGAGGCCTGTAATTGGCATCATAGGTAGACCTCAACTATGAGAGACAAATGAGAAAAAAAATCCAGACAATCACATTGGCTGATTTGGAAAGAATTTATTTGCAAATTGTGGTGGAAAATAAGTATTTGGTCACCTACAAACAAGCAAGATTTCTGGCTCTCACAGACCTGTACCTTCTTCTTTAAGAGGCTCCTCTGTCCTGCACTCATTACCTGTATCAATGGCACCTGTTTGAACTTGTTATCAGTATAAAAGACACCTGTCCACAACCTCAAACAGTCACAGTCCAAACTCCACTATGGTGAAGACCAAAGAGCTGTCCAAGGACACCAGAAACAAAATTGTAGACCTGCACCAGGCTGGGAAGACTGAATCTGCAATAGGCAAGCAGCGTGGTGTGAACAAATCAATTGTGGGAGCAATAATTAGAAAATGGAAGACATACAAGACCACTGATAGTCTCCCTCGATCTGGGGCTGCACGCAAGATATCACCCCGTGGGGTCAAAATGATCACAAGAACGGTGAGCAAAAATCCCAGGACCACACGGGGGGACCTAGTGAATGACCTGCAGAGAGCTGGGACCAACATAACATAAGTGACCATCAGTAACACACTACGCCGCCAGGGACTCAGTTCCTGCAGTGCCAGACGTGTCCCCCTGCTTAAGCCAGTACATGTCCGGGCCCGTCTGAAGTTTGCTAGAGAGCATTTGGATGATCCAGAAGAGGATTGGGAGAATGTCATATGGTCAGATGAAACCAAAATAGAACTGTTTGGTAGAAACACAACTCGTCGTGTTTGGAGGAGAGAGAATGCTGAGTTGCATCCAAAGAACACCATACCTACTGTGAAGCATGGGGGTGGCAACATCATGCTTTGGGGCTGTTTCTCCGCAAAGGGACCAGGACGACTGATCCATGTACAGGACAGAATGAATGGGGCCATGTATCATGAGATTTTTAGTGCAAACCTCCTTCCATCAGCAAGGGCATTGAAGATGAAACGTGGCTGGGTCTTCCAACATGACAATGATCCCAAACATACCGCCCGGGCAACGAAGGAGTGGCTTCGTAAGAAGCATTTCAAGGTCCTGGAGTGGCCTAGCCAGTCTCCAGATCTCAACCCCATAGAAAACCTTTGGAGGGAGTTGAAAGTCCGTGTTGCCCAGCGACAGCTCCAAAACATCACTGCTCTAGAGGAGATCTGCATGGAGGAATGGGCCAACATACCAGCAACAGTGTGTGCCAACCTTGTGAAGACTTACAGGAAACGTTTGACCTCTGTCATTGCCAACAAAGGATATATAACAAAGTATTGAGATGAACTTTTGATATTGACCAAATACTTATTTTCCACCATAATTTGCAAATAAATTCTTTCCAAATCAGCCAATGTGATTGTCTGGATTTTCTTTCTCATTTTGTCTCTCATAGTTGAGGTCTACCTATGATGCCAATTACAGGCCTCTCTCATCTTTTTAAGTGGGAGAACTTGCAAAATTGGTGGCTGACTAAATACTTTTTTGCCCGACTGTATATGTATATATATATATATATATATATATATATATATATATATATATATATATATAGATATAGATATATACACACACACACACATTCACCCTTGTGACACTGCAGCTGTCCCAAGCCAAGAGCTGACAGATCACCTTACCACTCAGCTCTTGGTCTGCTTACATGGGGAACAGTGGTTGTTAGTCACTGTTCCTGCATGTACTGGTGTGCCAGGCTGGCCAGGAGGCAGGGAGAACTGACTCTAGCTCTAGCAGAGTGCTGAGAGGCGGAGCCAACTGTCAATCAAACAGATATTGTAGGTGATCCCAACTATATTGTTGGGATCCTCCCTGAACTTGCATGGCTCTGCCCTATCAGCTAACACTGCATCATAGAAGAACAAAATTACTTCTGTGATCCAAAAGATAAGTATGGGGAAAAAAGGTTTGTCCATATTTTTCATTAAAACTCCAAACTTTCTGCATTGATTGATGGTAAACATGGTACGATACTCTACTAATGGAATTTCTAATCCACAAATGTGCAAAACTCCATTACATAAAATCCTAATACAATATTGTGAAAATAGTACAGAGCTAAAACTAAGGCCTATAAACAAACAGTTCTGCATTAGTAACCAGAGAAAAGAATACAAGCTTCTCATCTAACATGCAATGATGATTGTACAGCAGGCACTAGAGACCAGCAAGTGGTAATTTGGCAGGTGGCTGGTAGGAAGGAAAGTGGTTAGCTGCTGCAGGATTATGTCACTGTCATAACCAGAGAGAAAGCGTGCATGCATCATCTGCAAGGGCAGGGCAGACACTTTCCTACATAGTATAAAGTATATCAACCCATCCATGATCACACCCATTATAATTCAAAGTCCCTTTTTATGGTATGATATACAAATAGGATACAAGAAATGAAAATGGAAGGGGGGAAGGAAAGGAAAAAAGGGAAGGTAAAAGGAATGAGGAAAAGGGAAAGGGGAAAGTAATGAGGAAAAGGGGAAAGGAATGAGGAAAAGGGAAAGGGGAAAGGAATGAGGGAAAGGGAAAGGGGAAAGGAATGAGGAAAAGGGAAAGGAATGAGTAAAAAGGGAAGGGGAAAAGAAATGAATGGAAAAAGCAAAAGGGATGAGGAAAGGAAAAAAAAAACAAGGGAAAAAAGGAATAAGAAAAGGGAGGGGAAAGGAATAAGGGGAAGGGGAAGGGAAAAGGAATAAGGAAAAGGGGAAGAAAAAGGAAAAGGGGAAATAAATAAGGAAAAGGGGAAGGGGAAAGGAATAAGGAAAAGGGGAAGAAAAAGGAAAAGGGGAAATAAATAAGGAAAAGGGAAAGGGGAAAGGAATAAAGGAAAAGAGGAGATGGAAAAGGGGAGAAGGAAAGGAATAAGAAAAAGGGGAAGGGGAAAGAAATAAAGAAAAAGGGAAGGGAAAAAATGCATAAGGAAGAGGAAAGGAAAAAGGATAAAAGGAAAAAAGAATAAGGAAAAGGGGAAGGGGAAGGAATAAGGGAAAGAGAATAAGGAAAAGGGGAGAGGAATAAAATAAAAAGGGGAAGGGGAATGGAATAAGAAAGAAAGAAAAAGGGAAAGGGGAAAAGAAAGAAAGAAAAGAAAAAGGGAAAGGGGAAAAGAAGAAAAAAAAAGGGAAAGGGGAAAGGAAGAAAAAAAGGGAAAGGGGAAAGGAATAAAAAAAGGGAAAGGGGAAAGGAATAAAGAAAAAGGGAAAGGGGAAAGGAATAAGGAAAAAGGGAAGGGGAAAGGAATAAGGGAAAAGGGAAGGGGAAAGGAATAAGGAAAAAGGGAAGGGGAAAAGAAACAAACAGAAAAAGGAAACATGAAAGGAAAAGGGATAAAGGAAAAATGCAAAGGAAAGGAAAAGAAAAGAAAAAAAAAAGGAAAGGAAAAAAAGGAAAAAAAAAAAAAATAGAAGGAAAGGAAAAAAAAAAAAATAGAAGGAAAGGAAAAATGAAATGGAAAGCAGAGGCTAATTTATAATAACATTATAAATACCACATATTGCACCAAAGTTTTTATTTAATACAGAAATATGAACAGAACAGTTACCCAACTGAAGAAATTAAAAAAAAAATCCCTTGTTCTATTCTTAACTTTTTAAAGTTTATATATTAGCTACAGTTGACAACTTTGCATTTTGCATTCATAAATTTAATTTGAAAAACTTTACACAAGAATAAGGATTTCTGTTTTGAAGCACCTGATTGTGATTTTTGAAATTATATTTGGCTCAGCTGAAAATAACTGTCACTTTAATAAAAAAAAGGCTTCTTATCCAGGTGTTTTAGCTTTGTGAATTGCTCCTGTACAATCTACATTACTAAAAAAAATACATTGCTAAGCTCAGTTTATATAGTTTACAAGTATGCCCTGTTCTTAATGTGCAGCATAATGTGCCTGCTGCAGCAAACCACTTAAGTGACCTGCAGCAAAAATAAATAAATAAATAAACGTCCAGGGCCTACAGGAAGATAACAGAATGCAGTTTTACATAAAACATACTGCAGACAACTGACTGACATCATACATTCCTCAGAACACAAAGACAACCATGTGACCATCTAACACTTATGGACAGTGGATCAAGAATATCAGACACGAAACTACGGCGGCAGGAGTTTCCTCGCTCCTATGTTCTCCAACTCTGAGCTGCAGTTGGTCTGTAGATAGGAGGGTGTGGCAGCTGCTTGATATGCTAAAGTAGACCTATCATTCACATGTTACTGAAGATCTTCTACCAAGCTGCAAGGACATTGTGCCCCTGTTGTTACAAATGCATCACATTATACAGCACAGAAGACAGGACTAGCAGCATCCAAATGAATATACAACGTAGTTTATCTTAAAACTGAAAATACAGCGCGTCCTTACCTTGATATATTGTTAAAGCTGAGATAAAGGAGCTGGAGGCTGGGCAAAGTATCCACATCTCTCTAGAAGGAAGCAGAGATTCACTACATCAGTGAGATTACGTGACGTAGAGCAGGAACATCTGCTCAGCTGATACAGTACACTCTGCTAATTGCTGTGGTCCTGATGCAGCATTGATTATTGTGGAGCGTATGGGGATAACTGGGAGTGTTTCTGTGCAGGAAGCCGTTCTGCAGAAGCAGCTGCACATACAAGGTGATCAGCAGTGGGAGGGGTGGGGGGAAGAGCGATGGAGGGAGAGAAGTCATTGCTTTCAGTAGCCAACATGCACAATCAGCATTTTAACCGCATAGTGGCGAGGCTGCTGATCATCCGCAGAGCAGAAACAAGACGGTGCTCTGAGAATCCAACAAAACAAAGCCTCGGCCAATTTCAATGGGAGGTCATGGATAATGACATCTGGCTAGAAAAAATACAATTACAACCATTGCTTACAGATTGCCATTGCTAAATTTAATTTGAACATTTGCAGTATGCAGAACCATTCAATATTTCATGCTGTGTGTCACCATCATGTGAATAATTTAACGCACAGACTCACCAATCACTTTTTGCAACTGACAGTGTATTGCTGGCCATTTGGAAACATGTAGAAATCAAATACAATTTTATAATATAAAAAAATACATAATTTAAAGATCTTTAGTAATGTCCTAACCTGTAAATTCACAGTATAGAAAATGTTGCACTATTCACACTTTTAAAGAGTACCTGCACTTTTGTTGAGAAAAAAAAGAAGTACTGCCTACAGGGTGATCTATGCACACTGAAACAATTTTAACAAACTTTGTTGAAGATTCCTACCCATTTCTGCTCTGAAGGAATAGCTCTTTGGATTATGTGCAGAGTGAATGTGAATGACTTTTTCATTATTAATCAGCTGATGCACTTGTAGTGTTCTAATGAGGAAAGTTGCAGGGTTTGCATTCCTTTAGAAGTAATTGACCCTATGGGTGTATCTCATGAAAATTACATTTTAGTTGCAGAGGACGCTTAAAATCTGACTTGTATCTTAATGCAGACTTCTGGGAAAATCAGTAGGCCAATCACACAAGCATGAAATTACATAGCTTGGGAAATTCTATACTGTGTACAGAAGGCCTGTAGGTTGTCATAATACACTAAATTGTACAGAAGAATACAGTAGATGCACATAGGAATGTCATTTTAATGGCATTAAGGCCTGGTTCACACTAGTATGGGCCATGCGGCCCGCGTTTGCTCAGGCCCATTCATTTGAATGTGTCCCGCACAAAAAAAGATGCATGCACCTTTTCAGAAACGCATCCGTGGGTAAACCTGTGCAGTGGCGCCCGAAGCAGGTGCAGGGGGTGCGGTCCACAGCAGGTGATACCGACCGCACGGGGGTGACACCGGACCCGCTCCACAAAAAGGGAAGTTGTAAAGCAAGCCAACGATCCTGCGGGGATCGTCGGCATGCAACCTATACGGGGTGACACCAGACCCACTCCAAGAAAAGGTAAGTTGTAAAGAAAGCTGACGATCCCTGCAGGATGGATCGGATCTGTGGATTGAGCATAATGGATCGGAGTCCGATCCATTATGCTCAATCCACAGATCCGATCCATTCTGCAGGGATCGTCGGAGGGGGGTGTCACCAAGTATTACCAACCCTAGGGACGCCTCTGAACCTGTGGTTTTCGCACCCATAATCAAGCTGCGGACTGAGGTGCATCAGGGTGCCATTCAGAATGAATGGCAGCCCTGTGTGTTTCACAAGAGCAGCACAATGTGGAGGCAGGTGCGGAAACATGTGCAATTCTTACATCTGCAACCAGCCTGCAGCGTGTGGCCTACTGTGAACCCAGTGTCAAGGGTAAGTCGATCTTTAGTGACATGCTACACTCTGCAGCAGCCCTTCCACCCCCCACCCCCACTGTGACAGCAAACAGGGATTCTTCTCCCCAAACCCTCTGTCACAATTTAAAATTGGAGTGTATCTGCCCACACTACATCATTCATTCACAGAAGTCTGTGAATGAGAAAACTATAAGTCCTATATCCACCACAGCAGACAAACTAGTAGTTTCAATGGACTGTGAGGGTGCTGATGAGCATGCTCACAGTCCATTCAGTCTTCCTGCAGCTCTGAAACAGACAGCCTGTACAGAGATATGGCCACAGGGCCGTAGGGAGGATGTGCAGGAGCATGACATTGCACCTGTGATCGCCTACGGGGGGGGGGAGGATATAAATGCACATATTTTACCTCCAAAAACATATGCATTTATTATTTTTTGAAAGAGGAACTTAGCTTTTAAATTAGAATATGGCTTGTGTAGCAATCGTATATACTATATATTTTTTTTATTTGTTATAATTTTCCTCCCATTAAAGTGGAGTTTTCCTTTTAAATAATAACAGGTTTTTACCAACAGCCCTTCTCCACCATGTATACTGTTTTTAAAATATCTAATGTAAAAATTTCTTTAAATCTTCCTCGGTACAGTCACGTGATTACTATGTTCCGGCTCTGCTGTGTCAGTGAGCGCCTGCTGCAGTTGATGGGAGAGAGCGCAGACAATGGAGGAACAATGGAAGCTGGTGAGTAATGTCACAGGTCTGTGAATTCAGCCCCACCATCGAGCCGCTCCTTTGCACAGAGCACCCGGAGCTTAGTGATCACATCGAAAAGATTTTTTTTAAAAATTGTATTTACACGGAGCTATTTTACAAACCATATGCAGCATGTGTATGAGTTGGGAGAAAGAAAGGGCAATATTTTAAACCTTGGTTACATTAGCACTTTAATTATAATATACCTATAGCCAGTGGGGTTTTTTTTTTTTTGTTCTGGATAGGGTAAGAAAGGACTACAATTACTTTTTTTTCTCTGTCCCATTGGGTAAATCTCCTTTCACTTCATGGAGACACAACAGGAAGTGAGCTGAAGTCGCTTCAAAATCAGGGGATTTCCCTTGTTAGACAATTGTCGCTGTAAAAGTTATCCCACCTCCTGTTCCAGTGACAACTCTTAACATTTTTTGTTTTTTATCACTTTATGCCACAGTGACAATGGTAACCAGGACCAACATAGAGACAGGCTCTCAACATCAAGAGCATAGACAGCAATAAAAACATTTAGGCTCTGTTCACACTTGTGTGACTTGTCATGGAACTTTGGGCACATATAGCCACAAGACAAGTCGCAGCCCATGGTTTTCCATAGCACCCGTTTGGATCTACACGACCTAAAGCTGCAGCAACTTTGACAAAGTTCCTGCACTACTTTATTGCGACTTGAGTGCCAGAGAGTGTAAAGTTTCTCCAAAGTCGAACTCCAAAGTGGCACTGGAAATTGCGTGACTTTGCAGACATACAAATGTGAATGGAGCCTAAAAAAGGTTTTTGTCCCCTATACGAAAAAAATCTAGCTATAGATACACTTTGAACACCCAGTGGAGATTATTTGTCCCTGGGCTGGAATTTCACCCAAAAAGACCCTAGTGTATGTGTGTGCATGTGTTTGTATGACCATGTTAGAGACATTAGACTGTAAACTCTTTTGGAGCAGAAAGTATGTGAATCAGAACCTGAATGGCTCAAGATTCTTAAAGATGTGTAAATTACATTTGTATAGTGTATTTAAAGCAAATTTTCTTTTGAATTTAGATTTAACTACATGACCAGGTCTTCTTTTCTTCTATAATGACACACTGCAACAGGTCTACATAAATCCATTAAAATAATCATCACACGACTTTACAATAAATGGGTTACATCTATGAGCAAACATAGTTTTATTCTTTTCTTTTAACACATACAATAAAATATGTTCTCTACCTCCAGGCATATAGTATGTGATTGATTTCTTCTGTCATTTGTGCTGAAAACTTTCAAAATGTGTTGAATTAGAGGAACAAGCAAAGTGGAGGTACTAAATCAAATCAATGCGTAAAAAATTTGAACTTTCTGCCAAATAACATGCAACGTTACAGTTTGAAGACAGATCTGTGCTTGATGTTGGCAATTCAATGTAAGTCTGAATAAAGAAGAGATCTCACAGTATATGTTGAAACAGTATGCAAAAAAGCATCTAGATGCAAATCCCAAGCGCAAGAAGGAAACTCCCACTAACCTCAATAGTGTCTACTGTGCAGCCTAGATGCCTTGTATGTATGACATTGATTAATGCATTCTCAAGTACCAAAATGAGCCCTACTGCAATGTATAGCACCCCAAAAACCTTGCTACTCCCTAATGGAACTCCTTAATGGAATGTAAAAAGGATTTTGCAGAACTTGATGTGTTCTTTGTCAACATGACTAGCTATGTAGCTCTTGATAAATTCATATTTTAATTTTAGCAGGTTCAGATTGCCTCTGGGTACCAGGATTTGGTGCTTTCTGAAGCATGCCCAGGCACAAGCAGCCAACCAGTTCTTCTGCCTCACATAGACCCCATTCGCACAGGGGTTCCATTTTTCATCCATCTGTTGATGGATGAAAAACGGACATCAATGCATCTCTATGGAAAAAACGGATAATCATCTGTTTACATCCATTTACATCTGCATCCATCAACATCCGTTTTAGGAATGGATCAAAGCCTTACCTTTCTTCCGTTAAAAAACAGAACAGACAAAAAAAGGATGTAAACGGACAGTCAGTTTTTACATAAGTTTTTGTATAAGTAGTGGATGTAAAAAAACCGATGTAAAAACCAATGTAAAAACTGAAAAACTGATTTTTGGAAACTTTCTTTGAAAGAAAACGTGACTGAACTGATGAAACAAACAGAACCCCCATGTGAAAGGATCTAATAGCCGGCCATACACTAAGATTTTGTTGGGCCGTATGAGACAAATCTATCAATTTCCTCATGCAAGCTAAAGAAAAAAAAAAAAAATAAATAAAATCTCCCCTGCAGGCGATTGCAATCTGACAGCCAGCACCTCCGGCTGTCAGCATACACAAATAGTGACTGCATATGATTGGATTCAGGTGAGAATTTTCCTGCCCAGCTCCTTAAATTTTCAGAC